TTTGGCATTTTTTGTGTGTGCTAATTAATTACTGCTCTAACACAGTCTATAATGGATACAGTGAATAGATGCAGCTTTTCTTCTTTGGAGTAACTGGGGTAACAAAAAGGTTACTGTCTTTTCACAATATTTAATTTCACTATCCTTCTGTGAGTTACTTTGCAAGTAGGCAACAAATGAGGTATTCTTTGGCTGAATGAGTTCAATGCAGCAAAGCAGATTATGTAGCAGAAGACTCATGTCTCCTTAGCCCTCAAAGTAGACAGTCCAAAAGAAGGCACCTCCTTTTCAAGTTGAGACTATCCAGAAAAATCATCAAGCTAGCAACTCATCAGCTTGTTTATCAAATCACCATGTGATCACCGCGTTATAAAGAAGAAAAAAAAATTGGCAATAGCATAGCCTAGGCTTCACATTATAAAGAAGAAAAAAAAACAGCAATAGCATAGCCTAGGCTTGTTGGTAGGATACTAACATCTCTGCTGCCAGAAAGGGGGGATTTACTGTGCTAATGGCAATCAACCCAGCATCAGTGAATTCATTGTGACTGCTAAAATACGTCTTTGACAAGATGATTATATGGGATTGGTTGCAAGATTAGACTCCTGCTCGTTTCACAGCTGAGGGACGAGTGAATGCATGGAGTAACTCCACCTCAGGCATGCTAGGCTTTGCCTCTCATTCATTGCCTTTTACACAGTGATACAGCAGGAACTGCTAGAATTGCTATGTCCTCAGGAGCTGGGGTTTACGCCTGTGACCCTAATGAAGCTCAGTTGTTCACATGCCTGTTGCAAATCAGAAAGCATCTTTATCCCAGTAGTAATAATTGGGTTTCATAGCATAAATGTACCTTCAGTTTAGTGTTTTTTTTCCTTTTGTTTTAAACAGAAAAGTCTTCTGTTTTCCACACCGTCTGCTGATGATGATTCCCACATACCAAGTACTTGATGCATGGTGGAAGTGCCCTGTCGTAGGGACTTCAAGGGGCCTTCTCTGTGCTTCCACAAGATGTCAAAATATGACAGTTGAGCTACTATTACAGGAGCTTCCTTTATACATTATTAACTATCATTGACAAATATATAAACTCAATAAATGGGAGTTACTCCTTTTTTACAGTAATGTTTGTTCAACAGGGGGAATTGGTTTTGATTTGAGAGCGTAGGACCGGTCGAAGAACTCACACATCTTAATGTATGCATAAACATGCCAGCATAGATAATTTTCTGAGAAAGTATGAGAAGCTCATAACCAGTCTTTGTGAGCTGTGTATTTGCTTTATTTTTATTTTATTTCATTTTTATTTTTTCATGATTTGCTTTGAAATGAAGCCATCAAAACTGCCAAATAAGTATATTATATTTGTGATGAGCCATTTAGAAACTATAGAGAAAGGAATAGTCTGAAATGAATAAAAAACCCATCTAGCATTTAAGTTGTATTAACAACAAGTGATGCAGATCTTTTTCACTAGAAGGAGTTGATCTACAGAAAACCTGAAGCATCTCAGTTAAACTGGCAAATTATAACATTTACCCCTGCAGCTACTGATTTGGGGGATTTGAAATTTGCCTGTTAGTATTATATCGAGGAGATATAATCTGCTGCCATCATCTTCAGATCTGTTGTATTAGAGGTTGATTATATAGTACTTGTGTTTTACTAATGGCCTTTTCATGGGGAGGCGGCATTACCAGATTAGAAACTGGACCTTTTTAATAAGGTCCTACATTGATTGCACAGAATAAAAGAAAAAGAAAGCTACCACCATCTCTGTGCCATTTGAGAGTCCCTTAAATAGATTTATATTAATTTTATTTCATAAATTCTTGTTATGCTTTTATTTATTGAGCAACTTATGGTATACATTTTCTAAATACTGTACAGACAAATCATTCGTGATAGTGTGAAAGTTTTTCTACTAAATCTCCAAAGCATAAATGGCTAAAAATTTTTATCTGACAATAGGGAGTTCATCACGTATTTTTGATATACTAATGAAACAGGTGTACTTTGTTCTTACAAACAGAGTTGTAAGAGTAAGTTGACAGAATAAACAGGAAATTTTAAGGGAACTCCAAAATGTGTATATGTCCATAGTTACTATCATCTTCTTCAGTTCTCCTCTCTGGATAATTCTGCAAGATCCTTCTATCCCTTCCCCGGGAAGTTTTGTCGATGGCAGTTGCATGAACTTGCATAGCATTCCACTTGTTAACAAGCTGTTTCTCATGTCAGTGTTATAACTTCCAGGAATAAGGAGGAAAAAGTCCTGGAAACAGATACAGAAGCTTGAAAACTTTCTAAAACTTTTATAGACTGTCACAGTGCATAATATCTGCATGAGGACATACGAAAAGCAATATAAGGCTCATATAGCTAGAGCATGGGATTTTCTAGTGGGGTGTGTGGGGACATAGTCCTTCCTCTTAAAGAGTGATTTTGTTAACAACTATATACATGAAGAGGAGGAGAGGAAATATCTTAGTTTGGCGGTGGCCACACTGATGCTGGTACTTGCTAGAACTCCTGTTAGGTCACTTCCCTACAGATCTACACAAAGAGTGTCCTCTCTAGGGTGACACCAGAAGCATTCAGCTTTGAGGTACCTGGGCAAAGATACAAGAGTTTCTATAGCTGTTTCAAAGAAATTTGCCAGGATTTTGGAAAAAGAAGTGCTTCTAGAGACCCACCTGCATTACCACCTCTTCCCATGTGGCCAGAGGGTGGGCAGGTGGAGAGCTTGGCCTCGGCCCACTCGCCCGAGATGCCCTCAGGGTGCTAGCGCAGGGCTGGTTGCCTGTGAGGAGCCGGGTCTGCGGCAGGACAGTCTCTCTCGTCACCTCATCTGCTTTATCTCTGGTGAATCTGAGCCTTTCTCCAGAACTGCCCGTGCCAGCCCTCAGCGGGTGGGCAGGCCTCCGCATCTCATTTCACTGCCCTCAGTTGATCCCGACGTGCTCCCCGTGACTGCTTCCTCAGAGAGGATGCGGGTAAAGCAGTGACAAAACACATTTTAAAGCATCCCGCCTCGCTCTATCTCCCATTGTTGAACCCGGCCCTGTCACACAGCACCTTGTTCTGCTGGCGGCCTGGCCCATGCACCTGCTACACAGAAACCCCGAGCTGATTGCACCATAGCAATTAGCAGCAGTGCGTGCAAAGCAGCAATTAGTTTTTTTTATATTTTTATTTCTTTGCTTCTGTGGATTATATTTTCTGAAATCATATGCAGAATTCAATATTTTTTTTTAAATTTTGGTGGCCAAACCATTTCTTTGGCAGCATAGTTTTCAGTGTGCATAGCTGAGCCCCAGGTTTGTAGCAAAGCTGCTGTTTCAAGATGGGTTAATATAGCAGTAGCTTTACAAATAATGTACAATTTATTCAGAGATTTATGATTCTATAAAATTGCTTGTGTTTTATCACAGCTTTGGGCAAATACCCTGCTGCAGGGAGGGAAAAACAAGCCTGGAAAGTGAATCTTGCTGGAGGGGGAATTTGTTTTCTGCTAATAAGCCGTTCTGCGCATAAAGAGTGGTCTATCGTGTATCTGAAATAACTGATTTCTCCCTCTGCATGGTGTTCCCTGCACGTCCAAACAACCCTACCAAGCTCTGAGTAGGGGAATTACCATGTTCTGAAGCCCTAGTTTGTTAGATAGGATGTAATTAATTTGAGCAGATGGTCTGCTTAGAGGTTTGTTTTATTATTTGAGCAAAATGAGATTTTTAGGCGGCCTGGCTTTGGGTTCTGTTAGCATTCATTAGTTTGTGGAGCAAGACACATGCTTGTATAATATCAGCGTCATTATTAAATGTCATAAGCACGCGTGTTTCCTGCAGCAGTGGAAGTATCCACAGTAACATCTGTAGAATCTTTGCTAATTTTTCCATCTTGGACCTGCAAAAAAAAAAAAGGAGAGTTGGGAGGTATTACTTGTTTTTTAGATATATTCATTATTCTAGCTATGCACAAGTTGCACAAAGGACGAAGGTCAAGGAGTGTAGGTATGGAGGATAACGCACGAGATGATTGAAAAGGCTTTTGCAGGGTCTGCATTTCAGTTGCTGGTGGGAGGGTGATGAATAACATAAAAAAGTAAAATAAAAACGGCTGTGTCTGCAGGTGCCCACCAGCTTGCAGGACGGAGTCCTGGCGCTCACTTGTGCATGCTGCCAGCAGCTCCATCTTTTCAAAGGCTGCTCAATTAATCTGACCTACTGAGGGCTATTCGTACAGCTTATGGGATTTTATTTTTAAGTCCTCACAGAAGTGATTTGCTGCCCTCCAGTTAGGAATTTAAAGGAAAATTAAATTAAGGCTGCCTAAGTAATGAAAGTATTTTTAGATTTGATAGATAGAGATGATCAAAGCAGAAAGCCTGTAACCCTGCAAAGATTTTTGATATTGTTTAGTACTGGGGGGAGTTACCATCTCTAGTATATCATGGGGTATCAGGCCTTAAATTTGTACTCTTCTGCTTCACAAATTCTTTAATCTCTAAAGTTCTTCATTATGTTTTAGGTCATAAATTAGCAGATTTATAAATCAAATAGAAATATTATTTCTATCCTTATGAGCCTACAGTACTGGGTTCATAGTTTTGTGTAGTTTTGCTGATGGATGCATTAAAGAAAGGTCTTATGCCCTAAGAGACATCTGAATTTTTCTTGTATGCCGTGAAATGTAAGCCTAGTATTTGTTAGTGTGTTACACATCTTATAATGTTGCCTGCCTGGTGTGACGTATGTGTAACTATGTATTTGTTGTTTCTGCTTCTCTTGGGCTGTAGGCCTTTCCTAACCAGAGTTGAAAAAGTAATTTCCATTAAAAAAAAAAAAAAAAACTTAAAACTTTATGCAAATTGGAAAAGTAAAGGAATGACCAATTCTAATCCCAAAATAGAGCTAGAAAGAGAGAGAATCGTTCTCTTATCTGTATATAAAATGTGTGCCTTACATTTATCTCTCCTTTCCAATTTCTTCTGTTTTCAGGTTTTCCAAATGAGCCTGCAGCTGTCATTGCCCTTAACACTATTAAGGAATGGCTAAGGAAGAATCATAATGAGGTATGGAATAAAATAGATATTCTCTTTTCCCAAACTGTTTAAGATTATGGTCTTTGGCTCAAAATCGTGAAAAGAGTAAACATAGACTTGATCCTTGAAGTGCAGATTTATTCTGAGACAGATGAAATCGTGTCAGGACAATGCAGCAGAGGGGGGATTGCTATATTTAAAAGCTGTATGGGAGCTAGAGGGAAATACCTTTGTTTGAAGCCATACCATGTGTTTCCTGTGCACTGCAATCTTTCATGGCAAGTAAAAGACTATTCTCTTTATGAAACTGCTTCTGCGTGTCGAAGTTCCATGTAATAATGGGGTCGTTCCTGGAAAGGAAACATATATAATAGTTGTCAGTGCAAAGAGCTGCCAAGGTCAGTGGCTTTCCAGAGGTCACTTTGCAGTAAAGAGCTTTGTGATTATAGTATTTTTTTCTGTCTTCATTAATTTTTGGTTTGCCTACAGTTTAGTGTGCTTTTCCTCTGGAACACTTGCTAAATATCTGATGTAACTGTGAATCTTTAACAAGATGGGTCTTCTTCCAGTGACAGTGTGACGGTGATTATTTTTACATGACAAAATGCTTTCAACAGATGATCTCCTTACCCTGGTTTCCACTTTCTGTCTTCCTCTTTTTTTAGTTCTTAGCAGGCTGATAGAATGTGCTCATAGAGTTGATTTGGGGAAAAGCAGCCAAGAAGTGACAGAGCAAATAAAATAATCATGATGTCTTAAACTGAAGATATGCCTGTTTCCTTATAATGACAGCCAAGACACAGCTAGAGTTGTTGAGTATTTTTGTCTGAAAAAAATTCAATAAAGCATCCAGAGGAGAAGCGCTGGATCCAGAAGCATAATTAGTAGTATTTTTTTTTTTTGCAGTGTTATTTTGGGTGGGGGGTTATTTTTATTTTTTTTATTTTTCTTTGCAGACAGAATCTGATATGCATAGGTATGGTTTGGTGTTTTTGTTTTTGTTTTTTGAATTGAATCAAACTAAACTGAATTGAATTGAAAGGAAACACTACTTTGAGATTGAATGGTGAGTTGAGATTTTTGAACCTGAGTTCCAAAAAATATAGTTTGGATACTGAATCTTCATAGTACTGAACTCTTCATAGCTTCCCATGAATTAGAGCAAAGGAAGAGTTTTAGATGGGCAGTCTTCATTAACACTAAATGCCTAAGTGTGATCTTAGCAAGCTAGATTTAGGTTTATATTTTTGAAAGTCAAGTCTGTTTGTATCCAATTTTTGCACCGGGCTATAAGGCTAGGAACCTACAGTTGCACTGCTTTGCCACATCCTAATTTCACTTTGTTGGGTGTTTACCATCTAATTTTAAAATGAGCTAGAATCTCTTTTTGGCTCCAGAAGCAAACTGTTCATTCTCAAAAGCTGGATATACGTACCCCTTCATTGCTTTTGTCTTAATAATGTTACAAGAAACCTGACTTTATTGGTAGACTGTGTGTGAAAAACAGATGTTTTTGGGATGAGGACTATTTTCTTCAAGGTGTTTTGCTCTAAGGTTGGACCATTGCTCAACCAACAGCTATAAAAGGACTTTCAGGACACACCTTGGGTCTTGCCTTTTTCTCCTTGCGGTCTGACTGTGTGTGGGACCTCACCCATGCCCTGCTGGTCACCTTGCCTCCTTAGCATGTTGCTTCAGCACTTCTCTTGTGTCCTCCTTAGATAAACTCCTTCTCTTGTTCTCAGGAGTCCTCAAATCCATCTTGAAAGGAGAAATGGTTCCCACGACATAGCAGATAATGGTTAAATTCAGTCTTTATCATATAACTTCTTTAATTTTGTCTGAGTTACAAGCACTTCAGAACAGGAATATATTTCAATCTGTGTTTGCCAAATGTCATTGTAGTTATGCTCTGCACTGAGTAGGTTAAATTATTAACGCTGAATATGCTCTGCTTCTCCTTTCCCACTTCCTGTACAACATTTTCTTTCAAGTCTCGGCCTTCTTGGCCACCTAGCTCCAAACTTCCTTCCTCACTTTCTACAAACTCCAATCTCATCTGAACGCTTTTTAAGGAAGTAGATATAGTTGGCTATGTTTGTGAAACATTTTTGTCTGAAAATACTTTGTGACTACAAAGCACTTGTTAAAAATTGCCATACTGAGCTTATACCATAATTTTGTTTGTGTGTGTTTTTTTGCACTGGTGTTGCTAATGCTCGTTAAATGGGCTTGTTAATGGGTGTTTCCCAACACCCTTGGTCAAAAACTCTCTAAGTTGAGGTTTGATGCATTTTAAGGCATGCAATGCATGCTTAAATGTTACAAGTCAGTGAATATAACAGTTAAGAAATAATCCCCAAGAGCTTTGGTTACTTTTTGAAAAAAAAGTGGAGCAGTAGGTTTCAGTCAAGTTACGCTTTGAGTGTAAAGCTATCCATAGCTTTGGCATCACTGGGTGTCACTATCTAGAAATAAGCTTATATACAGCCTTAATTTTGTTCAAGACAGAAAAAAGAATCCTTTTTGGACAATGCCTCTGTTTGGAAGGCTTTTTCACAATTTTCTCATGAGTTCAGAATATGGCATACTAGTGTGTTTTACCTGTCACAGGTACATGAAATGAAAATACTTATCAATGCTATTGAAGGTAGCAGTAACTTAGGTTAACAAAGGGATCATCAAGAAGAATACACTGATTGGGATACTGTTCTTTAATGGGGTAATGATCCATTTACATTTATTGTCTTGGATTTGGTCTGGGGTATTAAGAAGTGATGCTACACATCACCCAAAGCTTTCCTCAAATTTCCCCATACTACTACAAAAATCAAAGGGAAATTCTGTATCAATAGCAGCTCATACTGCAGGCAACTACATTATATAGTCTATAAATTTCCATCAGAAAGCTAGAACAACTCCCACTGAACCCACTGGATATTTAAGTCCACATGTTGTAGCCTGAAGCAACATTAGTGCCAGGAGGGCAGCCTTTGGGAGGGTTGCCCATGTCTTACTCCTGGTACCTCTAAGCCCAAGTGCTGCACTGCCAGTGCCTGCTCTTGAACTGCAGGATCGTGCCTCTTTTAGACCCAGTATACTTGCAGAACCCACATGCTGCGCCTTTGATCCCAAGGATGTTTGACAGCCGTTCGTTCACTTGACATTATCCAGTGCCAGTTTTCCGAAGTAAAACCTGTAGCTCTCTGAGCGCAGGCTGTGAAACTCCGAGTACGCGCAGGAAGCCAAAATTCCAGGCTGCTCACTAGGAATTGCGCCTGCATGTCAATATGCTCAGCAAAGCCTGATGGATAAATAAGGTAGGTATCTGACAAATTTTGTAAGGCTTCTGTTGCGCTCCATGGCAGCGCTGTCTTATCTCTCACCCTGCATCCCAGGAAACTGTGACCAATCTGTGAAAGATAAGGCAATATTGTTTTCTCCTCTCTGCCTTCACCTATCTTTGATGCTATGAAGATTTTATCCAAGCTGGTATTAATTCAAAATATAAATAAATCAGTGTCTACATTCCTTAGTCAATAGGGGAGCCTGAAAATGTAGCCTATATGACCCCATTCTTGCAAACGGTGTTAAGAGCCTTATGAAGTTCCCTGTTATAGTGTTTACAAGAGAAGTGATTTGCATTTAATAAAAGGTTTTCTTACCCAAGCTCATTGTTGTGCTTGACCCTTTAGGTGTTTGCATAAAAACTTATTAGCAAGCTCAACTTCCAGCCTCTCAGATGAATGTCTCATTACCATGCAAATGGAGTTAGCTCCTTTCAGAGGTTAATTGGTACAAAGAAACACATAGATCTACTGTAATTTACCGAACGCTAAATACCAGCCAGGCAGGGCATCAACCATCATAGCGTGCTAAGTTTGCCAGGGAAAATAACAGTGTGGTAAGTAATAGGTTGTACTTGGTTGTATATAACAGGCAGCACTGTGCTGCTCTTGAAATGCAGCTCTTAGTCGAACTAATTTCTGGTTGTGTTTTACACCAAGGTCTGCTGACTTGCAGCCAGAGGGCAAATCTACTTTAGAAACTGGTAAATGGTGTTATATTGTTCCCATAGAAATCCCCTGAAGCAGGCTCCCAAGAATGGCAGTAGTCTGCAGTACCAGGTTAATTTACTGCAGACCACCTAGGCCATCTCTTTAGCAAACTACATCTTCACATCTCGCAAAGTGCTCGAAAGGCTTAATAGAATTCTGCAGAGTACAAAAGAGATTTGGATCCCATCCTCTAGGAAATTGTACGCTGTGAATCGTTTAAAAATGCACGTTAAGCTCTTTCAACAGCTCAGAATGTTTCTTTCTGGGATAACTTGGCCAGGTGAGAAGTAGTGCAGCTTGATATCCCATCGCAAAAGAAATCTGACACCTCTAGCCACTGGAACCTCCTAACTTGGGGGCTCTTCTTTGGGGGGAAGAGAAGGGATTGGTTCTGTTTTTCTTGGCAGGTATCTCTGAACATAGGCAATGCTAAACATTTTTATTCACTTTTCCTTCGGGATCACGCTACGTGTCTCAAAAGGGCAAAAAATAAAAAAATACTTGCCTTATGTCGCTGACATGAAAAACCTCGGGGCCTTTTCACTGCTCAAGGAAAGAGTTTAATTTAACAGCACATTTAGCTCAAAGTACTGTTCTTCCTCTTGCACAGTATCTCATAACGTTTATTATGAGCCCCAGCAGAACAACAAGGTCCAGGAGAGGGGGATTGCAATGCACATTCCATTGAAACAACTGATGCATATTAAAAGCACAGAGATGGAAAATAAATCAACACATTCCTGACTCTTTTTCATTAGAACCGCTACTGCAGAGATACTTTTTCTTATTTTGCCTTAGGTGGGTACGATGTTAGGTCCATGGGTTTTAGCAAGAGCTGTACTGTTCTTATTTTTGATGGTGGGATCTTGCACATTTCTAGCAGAACAGGATGAGCAAAATATGGCTTAGGTAGTGAGTGGACCTAAATAGGTCTTAGCCATTTGGAATATCCTTGTGTTTTTTATACCTTTC